CCCCAAAACAAAATCTGCATTTCAGTTGAAAAATCTGTAATCCAAGTTATCATAAAGGGTGGCCCTTGCTTAACTGATTTGTGACCTGAGCTCGATGCACAGGACCACACACCACCACAATCTCTTTCTTACCCCCTCTTTCCATCGTCTAGCACTTCTGTGTCCAAGATGTGGATATTTTTCTGGCTTCTCAAAAAGATGTAATCAATCTGCAACCAACAAGTGATCAGTATCACAATATGGTCTTTACTCAATACCATACCTCGCCCTATTAGAATTGATTTTCAGCAACCCATGCTTGTAGCAAGATGTGACTGTTGGGATGGGATGATCAAGCTCACTGTCCTGGGTGATACATGTCATCACATCCCAACAGATCGATGCTCAAGTAAGTCACTGGATTGGATTAGACCGCCTCCTTGGTGTAGTGAAAGCAGAGCGTCCGCCCGGAGAGCGGAAGGTCGCGGAGTTCGATCCCCTGATTGCGTCATACCAAAAGACGTTAAAATATGGTACTTGTTGGTCCCTGCCTGGCACTTTCGGCATTACTGGGTACAACAAGGACTGTCTGGCCTCGAGTCAGTATAATGTGTCTGAGTGGGGTATTAGGTGCTTCACTGCGGTGTGGTATCTCAGTGGGCTAGAACTATAAAACCAGCTTCAGTCTGGGCTAGTACAAGCAGCAGCCGCACGTACACATACATTGATGCAGGCACGTCGTCATATGAGCAAAATATTCTCAAGCACGACGTAAAACCCAATTTCACCTCACCTCACCACTGGATTGTCTGGTCCATATTTGACTATTTACCAAATTGATTTGATATTGCTGAGGGGCAGCGTTAAACAACAAATAAATAATCTCTGTATGTGTCTATCACCAGTTACTGCCCATGATGGATGTATACATTTTCAGCCAATCAGATTTGACCTCCATTTTTTACTTTATGTTTGTAAAGTTTGATATTAGCAATAGAAACTATTGGACAAACCAAACACACCCTTGGTACAACACCTTTTTGGGTGAAGACGTCATGATGCTGAGAAACAACAGGTTGCATACAACATCCACAACAATATTACAACACTGCCTTAATGTTTGCATCTGGAACTCCCCAGTTGGATTCATTTCCAAGATACAGAGATCACATATGCTAGTCAGAATGCTTCACTCAGACTGAGAATTAAAATATCTTTATGTTAATAATACATTGAATACATTGTCAATACTACTCATAATGTATTACAGAACACCAAGTTACAAGTGCCCCTTCCATACTTTACTCAAAATAAGTCAAGGACTACCCAATTCTTTCATATTACTATACATATACGGTCGTGGCAGTAGTGCTGACTTGTCATAGCTACAAGAAATGACAGCTATGTGGATTTACCCTTTTGTGAGATCCTTATTTAAAGTGTTGAATGTGTATCCTCCTCCATTGCCATGGAGATGCTGCCATGTGTCTATCAGAGATGTTTTTCTTGCAGGTACCTACATGTGAAACAAAATTATTTTTATCTATATATGAATAATTGAATACTTCTTAATTTAAGATAATGAGGTTTGAATTGACACAAAACTAAAGCGACAGCACTGAAACTCACCCACAAAATGTATAACTATCAACAAAGACGAAAAGGGAGCTGTTACCACTAATATTCAAATAGTTTTGCACAAACACTGAGGTCTAAAAGTATACCAAACTTAATGGAACCAAAAGAAAGGAAACATACAAAGTTCAGCTCCATAAGTCTTGAAAGAGGTTTTTGTTTTTATAAAAATGGCCATTGTGAAACAAACTTCAAAAACACCTGGAACATGAGCTGACCCCCACTACCAAATATATATATATTGACTAAATTTCATGAAATTCTTAGGGAAAATCAAATATGGTGTTGATGGCGGCCATATTAAAGAGAATGTGAAACTCCTGATTCAATACTCATCATTTTGGGAAGTTTCGCAGTTCCATTGATCAAGGGGTTCATGAGGGAAAAGATGTTTAGTATGCATGCCAGACAAAACCTGAGATGAAGAAAAGCCAGCTATGACTAACTTTCAGTGAGTGAGTGACTTTTGAGTTTTACCCCCTTGACTATAAGTTATCATCTCGCATGGTGTTGAGGGAAAATCTGTGGGTTTTATCAGTTCACCATAAGGTTGATTCACCTACGCCTCGGCTTGGGAATACAACCTTACTCAGGACTGATAAAACGCCGTATGTCCCTTGACATGATGTGATAACGCTTTTTATCTAGCCAGAATTTTTTTTACTAAATCAAAAGAAAACAATATGCATCGAATCGACATGTTGACAAACAGCTGATTGACCTCAATGCAGCGCACGTTACTAAAGGCTTGGCGATGTAATGGCTTTCTCACCGGCGTGGTCACCGAGGCGCGGGCAGGATAATATGACTTTTGTACTCCCTGCTCGCGGATCGCGGACGGTGTACATGGTATTTTATCAGAGTCAATGGAACCAATCAAAACTCGACATTCTTAAATGAGGCTGGATAATTGAAGTAATATTCCAGCAATATCATGACTGGGAACACCAGAAATTGGCTTCACACATTGTACTCATGTGCAATCGAACCCGAAGTCTTCGATGTGACGAGCTGAAACCCTAGGCTACCCTAGGCTAACATTTCAGGTGAGCTGAAAATGTATCAATAATACAACAACTGCACTTCAGAACATACATAGGGCAGAGGGGGTAGCCTAGTGGTTTCTAAGTGTTGGCTTGTCACGCTCAAGCCCCACATGGGTAGAATGTGTGAAGCCCATTTCTGGTGTCCCCCACCGTGACATTGCTTATTGCTGGACATATTGCAAAAGCAGTGTAAAATCATACTAACTCATTGACATACAATAATAAACAAGACTGAGAAACTTCAAAACAACCATCAGTCACTCTGAAACATCATAATTTGAGTTTCTACATCAAGATCTCAACTAAAATATTCTCATAACATATACACCTTATATGCCTGAAGAAAGGCATAATTATGTTGGCAAACACTGCAAAACAAACAAAAAATTATTACAAAGTTGTCATGACCAACCTTATTGCATTCTCTTGTGGTTCAGCATTTAAGTCCCCTGTCAAAATGGCTGCTCCTCAAACTTGCCCATGTAGTTCCACATTTCCCTCACTGACTGCTCCTGGCTTCATGACTCAAAAGACAGGTGCGTGTTGAAGATATGGACCTGGAATCATGGAATCTGGCACTGTATTTGTAGCGGCCATAAAAAGTGCCAAAAGGACCAAAGAGGTTAACCCTGTCAGCAAGCTGACATGTAAGGATGTCATCTGTGGGATGACTCCACAATCTGCTACACTGACATGGTAAGGATGTCATCTGTGGGATGACTCCATAATCTGCTACACTGACAATGTAAGGATGTCATCTGTGGGATGACTCCACAATCTAAGCTACACTGACAATGTAAGGATGTCATCTGTGGGATGACTCCACAATCTGCTACACTGACAAGGTAAGGATGTCATCTGTGGATGACTCCACAATCTGCTACACTGACAATGTAAGGATGTCATCTGTGGGATGACTCCATAATCTGCTACACTGACAATGTAAGGATGTCATCTGTGGGATGACTCCATAATCTGCTACACTGACAAGGTAAGGATGTCATCTGTGGGATGACTCCATAATCTGCTACACTGACAATGTAAGGATGTCATCTGTGGGATGACTCCACAATCTGCTACACTGACAATGTAAGGATGTCATCTGTGGGATGACTCCACAATCTGCTACACTGACAATGTAAGGATGTCATCTGTGGGATGACTCCACAATCTGCTACACTGACAATGTAAGGATGTCATCTGTGGGATGACTCACAATCTGCCATACACATAATCTACTACACAGACAATGTAAGGATGTCATCTGTGGGATGACTCCACAATCTGCTACACTGACAATGTAAGGATGTCATCTGTGGGATGACTCCACAATCTGCTACACTGACAATGTAAGGATGTCATCTGTGGGATGACTCCACAATCTGCTACACTGACAATGTAAGGATGTCATCTGTGGGATGACTCCACAATCTGCTACACTGACAAGATAAGGATGTCATCTGTGGGATGACTCCACAATCTGCTACACTGACAATGTAAGGATGTCATCTGTGGGATGACTCCAATCACAATCTGCTACACTGACAATGTAAGGATGTCATCTGTGGGATGACTCCATAATCTGCTACACTGACAATGTAAGGATGTCATCTGTGGGATGACTCCACAATCTGCTACACTGACAATGTAAGGATGTCATCTGTGGGATGACTCCACAATCTGCTACACTGACAATGTAAGGATGTCATCTGTGGGATGACTCCATAATCTGCTACACTGACAATGTAAGGATGTCATCTGTGGGATGACTCCACAATCTGCTACACTGACAATGTAAGGATGTCATCTGTGGGATGACTCCATAATCTGCTACACTGACAATGTAAGGATGTCATCTGTGGGATGACTCCAATCAATCTGCTACACACCGACAATGTAAGGATGTCATCTGTGGGATGACTCCATAATCTGCTACACTGACAATGTAAGGATGTCATCTGTGGGATGACTCCATAATCTGCTACACTGACAATGTAAGGATGTCATCTGTGGGATGACTCCACAATCTGCTACACTGACAATGTAAGGATGTCATCTGTGGGATGACTCCACAATCTGCTACACTGACAATGTAAGGATGTCATCTGTGGGATGACTCCACAATCTGCTACACTGACAATGTAAGGATGTCATCTGTGGGATGACTCCATAATCTGCTACACTGACAAGGTAAGGATGTCATCTGTGGGATGACTCCATAATCTGCTACACTGACAAGGTAAGGATGTCATCTGTGGGATGACTCCACAATCTGCTACACTGACAATGTAAGGATGTCATCTGTGGGATGACTCCATAATCTGCTACACTGACAATGTAAGGATGTCATCTGTGTGATGAGTCCACGGCCTGCTAATACTCCCCTGTCAAAAGAAGGCACGGCTGGGCCGTATAGCAGGGTACAGACTTAAAAATGAAGCACACAACTTTATGGATGACACCTTGTTGTTGCTCTATGCAATAAACAAAAGTTGTCATCCATAGAGTTGTATGATTCATTTTGACTCCCCAATTTCTAGAATGCCGATCAAACACTCAATGGGACTTATTTTTCTCAAATTTAATATGTACATGCTCAGCCCCACATTGGGCACCAGTGTAGCGGCCATAAAAATTTTCGAGTGCCGGGATGGAACCACAGATTTCTGATCCGAAGTCGGACGCCTTGTCCACATGACCAAAGAGGTTACCCCTGTCAGCAAGCTGACAAGGTAAGGATGTCAGTTATGGGATGACTCCACGCCCTGCTATACATTGGACCATTATTAGCTATCAATATCCAACGTGAAAGAAAAACGGTGAGTCGATACCCAATGGCCTGCACTCAGTCTGGAGCCATGATGCACAGCCCTGAACACCATCAAACAGATTTAGAATATTCTGAATCCCTGTCTTTAGTGTTGGCTGTTTAATGTCTCACATGACAAAATACCAGCTGAAAGACTGCTGCCTTTAAATGATTGAAGTGAGTGAGTTTAGTATTACACCGTTTTTAGCAATATTCCAGCAATATCACAGTATGGGATATACCGGAAATGGGTTTCACACATTGTACCCATGTGGTGAATCGAACCTGGGTCATCGGCTTGACAAGCTGACACATTAATCATTAAGCTACCCCATGCCCTGTAAAATACGGAATCTGGATAAGGCAGACCAGTGATTATTAAGACCAACAATCTATACAGTTTGCATACGCTTAACTACTATCATCCATATTCCAGAATCTGACCAACTCATCAGATAAGTTGCCACATGAAATGTCTATCACTATCAAATACAAAAGATAAACTGTGAGTCAATACCCACTGGCTCAAGGAGAGATCATCTGGAGTCCTGATGTACAGACCCAAACAGCCTGAACACCACTCAAACAGATTCAGAATTTACTGAATCCCTGTTAATAAAGCTCAAATGACCTCTTATCTGATGCATCATGTTTCAGTAAAATATTTTGTGTAGTTATTGTTTATAATTTCAGTTATAACACTGAGCTTGATGTGGAATGAAAGCTCTGAGCATTGCCTTTTCAAAACCAGGGTTTAAGCCATGGGCATAAGTAAAGTGCCAAGCTCCACACAGTGACTTTGCTAAATGCGGAGCTCTCTAGACTTTTGATACCACCAGTCACAGCTCCGCACACTGCTAGACCGTCTGCAGCCATGTATGGAGTTAAACTCACAACAAACTCAACAGTAAACACAAGTGTTGATTGGTTATGCCAAATACTCTTCCCCAGCTTAATTATTTCTTTGTTTGTCAGTTGAGTATCAATTATCATGTAACTGCTGCTGCGTGAATGTAAGGGATAGTTTTTCTGTGGTTGAGAAGGAGCTTTGTATGGTGTGGTTCAAGGGAGACCACTCTCAGGGACTGATGCTCCTTGCATGGCTACACCATCTACAGTAGGTAAGGAGACAGTCAACTTACAGTTTTCTGATTCGGAAGTTGAACCTCGACATGCTGACACATTCTCTGATGAAGGTCGGCACTGTTACTTTGATTCCTGAAACATGAGAGATTAATGAGCCTGACCATCCGATCCCGTTCATCATCCGTTCCAAGCTTAGGTTTCTGAAGGCCAATTTTAACCCCGATCTTCACGGTAGATAAGTTGTACAGGAAATATGAACACACAATGTCTTCAATTAAAACATACTCTGGGATTACTCTTTCTCAGTAAAGTACAAATTCTGGTGCTTTTTTGGTCCGAGTCCCATCCAAACTTAAAACAACATTCCAATGTTCACACATTTAGAAAGTCTTCAAAGTGTGTGTGTGTCTGCATGTGTGTCATAGGCGCCCGACTCTGATATATTTATAAGTATGACCTATATGTATAAGATATATATATATAGGTCATACTTATAAATATATCAGAGTCGGGCGCATATGATGTGTGTCTGTGTGTGTGGAAATTTTGGACTTTTTTGTATCTATTAAACAGCATCCTGTTCCAACATCCATTCCTCAAATAAATAAATCAAGTAAAAGCCTACCTGAAGAGAGGCAGTGAGTGGTGAGATATGATGGGGTAGCGCGAGAAGACAGCCACACCCTCTTCTGTCCGTCCATCCCTCACACTGTTTGGCTGGAGCTGTGCCGGCTGGTACACAAACTGGAACATGTGAGTCGGGAGGTGGCCACTCAGACAGCGTTCAAATAATCCAGGGTTAAAAATGAATCATATTTCCTTCACAATAGTTCCCTGAGTTTATGCTTAGAAAGAAATCATGATTCTTTAGCAACAATGCCTTGTCAAAATGTTATATATACAACTAAAAATAAATGTGACAGACAAGTAGATGATTAAGTGATGCAAAATATAATTTATGAAATATTTTGGGGTATTCAGAAATTGAAAATAATATTATCATTATCATCTTGGTAAAAAGAATGGGGCAAAACCTTCCCTGACACTCTTTCAGCATGTAAGTTGATTTCTGTACACAGACCTCACCTGGTACCCTGAAGCATGACAGCTAGATCTGTCTCCTGTACACAGACCTCACCTGGTACCCCTTAAGCATGTCCGCTAGATCTGTCTCCTGTACACAGGCCTCAGCTGGTACCCCTGAAGCATGACAGCTAGATCTCCCCTCCTGTGTCGCAGACCTCACCTGGTACCCCTGAAGCATGTCCGCTAGATCTCCCTCCTGTACACAGACCTCACCTGTACACAGACCTCACCTGGTACCCCTGAAGCATGACAGCTAGATCTCCTCCTGTACACAGACCTCACCTGGTACCCCTGAAGCATGACAGCTAGATCTCCTCCTGTACACAGACCTCACCTGGTACCCCTTAAGCATGTCCGCTAGATCTTCTCCTGTACACAGACCTCACCTGGTACCCCTGAAGTATGACAGCTAGATCTCCTCCTGTACATAGACCTCACCTGATACCCATGAAGCATGACAGCTAGATCTCCTCCTGTACATAGATCTCACCTGGTACCCCTGAAGCATGTTCGCTAGATCTCCTCCTGTACATAGACCTCACCTGATACCCCTGAAGTATGACAGCTAGATCTTCTCCTGTACATAGACCTCACCTGATACCCATGAAGCATGACAGCTAGATCTCCTCCTGTACATAGACCTCACCTGGTACCCCTGAAGTATGACAGCTAGATCTCCTCCTGTACATAGACCTCACCTGATACCCATGAAGCATGACAGCTAGATCTCCTCCTGTACATAGATCTCACCTGGTACCCCTGAAGCATGTTCGCTAGATCTCCTCCTGTACATAGATCTCACCTGGTACCCCTGAAGTATGACAGCTAGATCTCCTCCTGTACATAGATCTCACCTGATACCCCTGAAGTATGTCCGCCAGATCTCCCTCCTGTACACAGACCTCACCTGGTACCCCTGAAGCATGACAGCTAGATATCCTCCTGTACATAGATCTCACCTGGTACCCCTGAAGCATGTCTCCTCCTGTACGCTAGATCTCCTCCTGTACACAGACCTCACCTGGTACCCCTGAAGTATGACAGCTAGATCTCCTCCTGTACATAGACCTCACCTGATACCCCTGAAGTATGACAGCTAGATCTCCTCCTGTACATAGACCTCACCTGATACCCCTGAAGTATGTCCGCCAGATCTCCCTCCTGTACACAGACCTCACCTGGTACCCCTGAAGCATGACAGCTAGATATCCTCCTGTACATAGATCTCACCTGGTACCCCTGAAGCATGTTCGCTAGATCTCCTCCTGTACACAGACCTCACCTGGTACCCCTGAAGTATGACAGCTAGATCTCCTTCCTGTACACAGACCTCACCTGGTACCCCTGAAGTATGTCAGCTAGATCTCCTCCTGTACACAGACCTCACCTGGTACCCCTGAAGCATGTCTGCAAGGTGTTGAGCTTGATTTGGTCCCAGGGATCCACCTTTCTGGTATTCAAACCTCACCTCCTGGAATGCTATGATGTCTGGCTTGTAGTCATTTATCACCTTAAAAGACCCAAAGACCAACCTCAGTCTTGACAGTTACCATGAGTACATACAATATAGACAAACCTCTTTATTTTGTGAGTGCAACAGTACAAGAATACGTGAAAACATCGCACTCATGCAATAAAGAACTTGTTATCCATAAAGTTTGTCTATTTTGTACTTCCCAACTTCTAAAATGCCACTCATAGAAGTAATAATAACAAACAATTATTAAGTACCTTAGCCTTAACGCTACAATACATGCAGTAAAGTATTCACAAACTTGATTTTATTTTGTTTTTTTATTGTTGAAAACCGGACAGGCAAGTTTATATCTGGACTGGTAATTTTTTAAAGCTGTCTGGCTTGGAATTTTGGGATTTTTAAACACTGGCCTTACCCAACTTTATCACAAACTGTGGAAAATGAGCTGGTTGTATTTTCACAAGCAATAACTTTACTTGACACCGGACAACAGGGACAACTATCCTCAAATCATTTGATTCAATAATGTCCAGCCAATCAACATTTCAACCACCTGTTCTGTACAGCCCTATTGATAATTAAAGATTCGTGGAAATTCCAATTCAGTTGAAACAACAAGGAATTTGTATTGTTTATAAATAAGTGTCTTCATCAGTTCGATATGAGCATACTGAAATCAATTTCTGAAGAAAATATTCAAAAAATGTATATTTCCAAAGAAACATAGCATTTTTAATAATTCATTTACTACAAATTCAATCACTTTCATCTGTGGACGGTGGGGTAGCCTAGTGGTCAAAACTTTCTCTCATCATGCTGAAGGCCCGGGTTTGATTCCCCACATGGTTACAATGTGTGAAGATCATTTCTGGTGTCTTGAATGTGATATTGCTAGAATATTGCTAAAAGCAGCATAAAAACCCAACCCACTGACTAGTTTGGGGAATTGGTTAAAATCTCATAATTGATTATTGGTTCATTACAACCGATCAATCATTGAAAATAATTGGTTAGCGTCATTTATTACATTTTCCTGGTTATAGGAAATAACGAAAAAACATGTAGTTCTTTCGGGGGGCAAATTGCACAAAATGCATTTGCAAATTTCAAAGGATGACTAGTATATTAGGAACATAAATTTCCTGGAGTCTTTAAGATAAATTCAATCATGGCTGGGTATGAGCTTGTAGTGCTTATGAAATGAAACAGACAAAATCAACCTTGTGATAAATATTGTCAGTGCAAACAAGTGTTCTAACATTATTTGTGTTCGTTTATGAGAAAACATGATCAATTGCTTGGTTGTTTAGTCATTGCGACCAATCTTCGATTATTTCAATTTATCGGACCACCACTACCACTGACTCACTTTCATCTGTCAAGAATATAAAAACATGGTTTGTCATAATGATTACTTAAAGAAGGCAAAAGACCCTTGAAGATCTGGGTTAGATTTGATCTTCAGTAACCCATGTTTGTTGTAAGATTAGGTGGTCAAGTTCGCTGACTTGGTTGAAACATGTCATCACATCCCATTTTCATAGATCGATGTTCATGCTATTGATCACTGAATTGTCTGGTCCAGACTCGATTATTTACAGACTGCCATCATATAGCTGGAATATTGCTGAATGCGGCGTAAAACTAAACTCACTCACTCACTAACGAAGGCAATCACATTGCTGAGTTTAGAATTACCTGTCCAAGCCTTTTGATCCTGTCCACATAATAATGGCTCCCCTTCTCAGGCCTAGAGTTAAAGTTCCATGTATTGTAAGTCATTACTGTAAAATTTAAATAGATATCAGATCTTTTAACACAGGACTTTGAGACAGTCTGAGCACCAATGTCTGTATACAAGCTCCCCTGGAGCCTGTTATCACAGGAATGTAGATCCTTCAGAACGTCCGCCCTCCGCAGTGTGCAGGATCTTGTAGAAAACAGAGCAGGATCCGAAGATCCATCACTAAACAACACTGAACATACTGCTGAGTTAGACTCCTCCTGTGCTGCTGTGGTTTGATTGTTCATCTGATGAGGAGAAAACTCCTCATTCATGGATGTGTGAGCAAATATGTAAAAATTCCCTTTAGGATACATTGTCACAATAAAATTGTGTTTGAAAATAAAATCTTTGGACGTCCAAGTAATTTGGAATATGTATGTGGTTCCAAACACAAGCAATGTCGACATTGGCTTTGGTTTGTCTTCCTGGGACATGACACTGTAAAGGTAGGGTTCTCGGTCGTCACTTGTAAATGCAAGTTTCTGAAAAATAATAAAAAAATGCACAAAACAAAAATTTGATTTATGTGTGACTGAGTTTGGTTTTGTGTCACTTTTATAATGTTTAAAAAAAGTGAGAGATTTTAGTTGTACGCCGATTCTAGCATATAATGTTCCAGCAATATCACAGCATGGGATAGCAGAAATTCTCTTGGACATTATTTTTATTTTTGCTCAAAGGTAAATCAAAGTCAAATAGGGCACGGAATGTTATTTCACTAGAATTTGAAATGAATATATTCTGATGCCAATGTCACTATGGTAACGGCTAGACCATTGTGATGAAATTAGAACAACAGAGCCTGTGATCCAAGGTGAGACATTCAGATGAAATATGATTTATTTAGAGTGAGTGAGTGAGGTGGGTAGGTAGGTAGGTGGGTAGGCAGGTAGGTAGGTAGGTGGGCAGGCAGGTAGGTAGGTAGGTAGGTAGGTAGGTAGGTGGGTAGGTAGGTAGGTAGGTAGGCAGGCAGGTAGGCGGGTGGGTAGGTAGGTAGGTAGGTAGGTGTAGGCAGGTAGGTTTTACACAGCTTTTAGTAATATTCCAGCAATATCACAGCAGGGGACACCAAAAATGAGCTTCACACATTGTAACCATTTGGGGAATCAAACTAGTGTGGTGTGAACCAATAGGCTACTCCACTGCACTATGGAATGAAAGACACTCACTTCAGTTAGAACATGTCAACTTACCAGGGTGAGTTTCAGCTCATTTTTTCTCTTTGGACTATATATTGTGTTTCCAACAAACCGGAATTTCACACAGTAAGGCTTAAGATGGGAAAAATATAGTAAGATGTGAGTTCAAGACAACTTATTCAGCTGTGTAGATCTGCCGGTAGTTGAGAGTGATTGCACATCCACTTGGAACGGGGACCATGTCTATTTGAGGGTGGTGGGTAGCTGAATGGTTAAAGTGTCCGTTCGTTACACCGAAGAACTGGGTTCGATTCCCCACTTGGGTACAATGTGTGAAACCCATCTCGTGACACACGCTGTGATATTGCTAGAATAAAACCATACTTACTCACATCTCTATATGAAAAACATGATCAACATTCAATATGAATCGCTTTACCATTTTGAGAATGTTTCGAACGCTGTATGGATGTAGACCTCCATCAGATTTCCTTATGTTATGAGTTTTTCTTTGGTCCAGAAATGCTATGGCTGTCTGAAACAGAGGTGGCATCAGTTGAAACATGTTGCCATAGTAACTGAAAACAAGGCACAACATCTCAATACCTTTTCGGTTCAGAGATTGAAAAGATCTGTGTGGTTTCTTGTTGAAATGTAGCATGTAGAATGTATATCAATATTTAAGTAGAACTTATATCAATATTTAGGTAGAACTTATATCAATATTTAGGTGTGCCCTTAAGAAATTAAGTCGGCCAAGAATAATAATAATTTAGACCCAATTATGTTATTGGAGATGTTTGTCATTAGTTAATGCAATCAATATTTGTGTTACACTCAGTGATTGTCACCCCATGACAGTTGTGAGTGAGTGAGTGAGTGAGTGAGCGAGTTTTTACATCACTTTTAGCAATATTCCAGCAATATCACAGCTGGGAACACCAGAAATGGGCTTTACACATTGTACCCATGTGGGGAATGGAGCCCGGGTCTTCGCCGTGACAAGCGGACGCTTTAACCATCAAGCTACCCCAGTTTTAATTGAGGGTGATTATGACAAATCATTAGCATCACTGACATACACAAACATCTATTTGCTTCACGAAGTTGAGTGTTTCAGATAGTGCTTGAACTTTCCTTAGAACATCTTTACACTATTTTTACATGGCTTTAAACAAACAATCATTATGCCTCTAATGAGTCTCACATTCACATTTGAATATACACTTATTTAAAAATTAAAATATAAATTTTTTATAGCGTGTATTTTTTAGATGCATCAACATGAGAGTTCAGTTTAATTCTGCTTTGAAAAGTATTCCAGCAAAGGGAAGCAACTCTGCTGAGCAAATTGTGTCTCCATAGATGACATGAACTTACGAGAAAATTTGAGAGCAGGTGTCAAGTTTACCTGAACAGCTTTTGAGACATCCTCCTCTCCAAGAGTCGGACTTGGAGATGGCAATCGCCAGATGCCACCATACAGAATGTTGTCATAATCTGGAATTAAACATTTGTATCACACTTAATTTTTTCATCTTCAATATTTTTTCCATCCAATCTAACCATGTTAAAGTAATTTTCCGCATTTATATTGAAAAATGGTGAACGTTAACATTAAATCCCCAGCCTCATCAAATTTAATGCCTGGGTTTCAAATGTATTTCTGGTTCTCCAGCTGTGATAATATATAGTTAAACATGGTAAAAGTGGCCTATGCTAATGCTCAGTCAAATGTTCACTAATGCTGAAGGGGTCATTGTTGTCACAGAGGTACTACTAGTGAGAAATGTACCCTACACGAAGTCAAAATACAGAAATATACCCAATACCCCATCAGTTTAACTCACTGGTGTCTGCTTCATTAGTGACTAATATAAAACTGATAAAGACACAAGGAAGTTACAACTTTCTCATTTAAGATTTATCATTGAAAAAAATATTTTAACAACAGGTAAATTGATGTTGGTGAAAGGCATTTAGAAGTTGGATGAACATGAATACAGGACACGTTTATGGATAACAACGCAGAAATGTGAAGAAAGCATGAATACATACATAGAGTAAAACTATATAATAAGTCACAAAATGAGGCACAATAATATTAGGGCCTAACTGAACTGAATTCTCAACAGCTCCTGACAGATTAATGAGCTTGTAATAGGCGCCCTCTCAGTATGATACATATACCTATCTATATAGATAGGAATATATATCATACTTATAAATATATAAGAGTCGGGCTTAATATGATATATGGGTCATTTTCAAAATTGGTAGGATTTTCTGCTCGTTCCGAATAAAAAAAAAATCTGTGAGTATAAAAGGATTATTTTGTTCAAGAAAACATATTTAGATGTTTACTAGTCAGTAAATGTGGTATATCATTAGTCTTGTCATTTTGAAATTAATACTTAACCACATTTTGAGGTCAAAATTGGCAGATTACCTGTTGAAAGTTATATACATAATAATGTTTTAGAAAAATGCTATCATTTTGTGGTAAATAAATGAAAGATACAAAATAACACTTTCAAGATTCGTGATGATAGTTTTCACCTTCAAGTTTGATTAAGTCTGTGTAAAAGCTGTGTCTGCCATCTTTAAAAGATTTTTATGAATTATATTTCAAAATCCATATTCTGACTAAGAAGTGGTAACGGTCAGGACAGTCCCCCACCCTTTTAATTACATATGTATCAATTAAAAGGTCAATTAGTACATTTCAGTCTGCATGTTTGTATTTTTGAATAATAAGTGTTTGAGGTTTTATTTGAATAAAAATTAAATCAATTTTGAGGAGTTTGATTTTACTGTAATAAAGAATTGAAAATCCTACCAATTTTGAAAATGACCCATATATATGATATCTATATAGACAGGAATATATATCATACTTATAAATATATATGAGTATGGCGCATGTATTAGTGAAGCACATAATGACTACATCTTGGGCTGCAGTGCAGTACAGTACACTACACAACCTTGAACTTAGTACTAATTAGGGACTTTTAGGCCCATAGTATTTTAGGGTAAGGTAAAACCCCGATTAGATGAATTAACTTCTTAGCTAAAGTTTTGACACTTGCTAGATCGACAGATTTTAGAAATGATTTTTTGGATAAATCAATGTTCACAAAGCTGTAAATAATCAAAACAATCAAACATATTTGCTACGTGTTGTGTACTGACATTACCTGGTTCGTCATCTTGACAGAGAGCAAAGCATAGACAGCTCAGTAATACCGACACTGCTCGCTTCATCTTCCTGACTAGAAATGCTCATTTTTCTGTCAGTGTCATCCACACATTTGTTGACACGATGAATCTCGTACTCCGCGCATCCTTGCAAACAACGGCGCTGTAAGGAGTCAAGTTGAAATCCGGATTTAATTCGGGAAAGTCCAGAATGTTGGGCTAACGTCACCCAAGGGCAAAGAGTAGTGTACAATGCTTGGACCAATCGATACAAAGTGTTAATAATTAACTAAGGTTAGATTAGAAAGGAAAATTTTAAACTGTTTCAGTAACATGTATGTTGAGAATATAGGCAGGATGAATATTCATAAAACGTGCGTGGTTCGTGCGTGCATGTTAAAGTTCGACCCAATGGGAGAGAGAGAGTGATTCTTTATTTCCTCCAGAAATCAATCCGAAGATTATTGATACATGAATTCAATCAAACATAAAACACATTAGTATTTACATACAGGACAATGTTATTCAAAGTTGATAATTGATATGTACAGAAACATTCACAAAGGGATGGCGTCACTTGTGCCTCCATTAAAATACAAACTCAAGATATTGTTTCAAATGATAGACATATTTTGCAAAGTTTATAATGACAGCATGGTATGTGTCCCGCACTAGGGATCGTGTGAACTGTGTATCTGCACCTTGGAGAGTTGACAGCATTTCGTCGTCTTCCAACATTTCGAAATTTACATAGGTTTCAACATCAAGTAGATCAATCAGAGAAGAGAAAAAGTTATTTCGGAGACCTAATAATTTTTCACAATGTAGTATCACATGGTTGTCATAGTCATAAGCGTGCTTGATACACAGCAAACATTCTTTTGAGATTTTATTTCGTGATGAAATTTTCAAACCTAATTGCAAGGCTACTCTGTGTTCAGGGTATAAAAATGCAAGTAATTATCACTCTCCACTACACCCTGGATGCATCCACGGCTTGGCCCGATGATTTTATAAGCTCCCTTGGCTGGCTCCGCATTCTCACAGTAGCCAATCAGCTAAGCCGCCGTTACATCCGAGCTTGCGAATGTCAACAAAGATAGCGGACGCAGTCGCGAAGGTTTGTTCGCAGTGCCACTCAGGAAATAATACAGACAAATTGACAGACCTGAAACGTTAAAAAAATATATGAAAGAACTCCTTCTACCTCTTTCAGAGTACCTCTGCATCAATTGTGTTGCCAGGTTTAAACGGTTAGATAATCTATGAAGCAAAAGTGAGTTGTGATTGGTTCGCTCAACTTCCCAGTGTAGACACCTGATTGGATAAAAAGCCAGCCAAGGGTGGTAATAAAATCATCGGGCCAAGCCGTGGATGCATCCAGGGTATAGTGGAGAGTGATCGTAACTTGTCAACGAAGGACAGTATAACAACTAGATTATCACAGATATAAATTTAAAACTTGTAATCCAAATTAAAATATTTTAACTATACATTACAAGATATAGAACAAGTATAAAAACAGGCTATCGGTTGGTAACAGTTGAAGGTAGATCCCCATACTGGGGTCGAACATAGTTATAACAATGTTATGCCTAAACCAGTACTTAAACGCCCTTAACGCATATAACGGTTGATGAGTCGAACATACGGTTGTCTAGAAGTAAAATCATGGTTACTGGGTACATCTCCTATTTAGGTATCAGTCTGCGGTTGTGTTGAACATCGGATATCTCGAATTATTTACGTAAAATACGTCAATTTCAAAACGTATATTTAATTGTGTCGGTAAATCTTTGTATACTCATTGACTTGTGATTTGGAATTATGTCTTGAAAACTATATAATACTGCTCTAAAAGTAAGAGAGGGAGAGAGAGAGTTAGAGTTGATGATGATGACGGAAATGCTTTTTCTGCCCTTTCTCATGCTTTCCCAGCTTGTTCGCAGTCTTCGTTGAACTATGGTTTACGTATGTGGGGATCCACTGAGGACTTCGGGATACTTATCAGCTATAGTGTTTAGTTCATCAGAAACTCATTTTATAGGATCAGGAACACCAATGAAAAGTTCAGGTTTAAGTTTGTCTATACACACTGTTTTGTATTAAGATCAATTTGCCTTTGTAAAATTCCATCGGGATGATGGTGGAACATTAGATGGGAAAACAGGTTGAAGAATGGTAGGAAATTGATTATTACCACAGAGGTCATCATGAACAGACCATTCAAATTCATTAAGCAGATTTGGTGCTGTAATTGACAAATCAAGTGAAGAGTATGTACCGGTACCAGGATGTAAATATGTTTTAGAATTATCATTCAAAATACATAAATCGTGAGTGTTCGAACTTCATTTTGCTGAAGTGAATAGGATTGAGGAATCTAAAGAGAGCACAAAGTGAAAACAATGTTTATTGTGATACGAACAGCCGCAGCTTGAAGAGGGTTATTGAGGAGATAGAGGGAGAGGGAGACACACACAGAGAGAAAGATAGATAGAGGGAGATAGGAATGTGAATAATGCCCTGCTTCACCAATATTGAAGAGCCTCCAATGGTCTTATTCCCTAGAGGTGAAAAGAAGTGATAAGAATCATATTGTCTGATTTGCATTTGATTTGTGTTTTTAAAGTATGTTTCCTGTAAGCAAAATGCTGATGGCTTCAAATCTTGTGATAATAATTGCAAATCATTAAAATTGTTACGAGGTTCCACTGAATTATTTGATTATAACCGTTCATTGTGGTAGAACTCATGATAAGGAACGTGGTGAACGCCTCCTGTGAGTAGAAACTGGAGGACTGACCTCCATTTGTAAAGGTTCAAATCGATTTTCAACCGTGGCAAGGAATGAGGGAGAAGAAGGCACCCCCAAGTGTTGGAGGGCCCCGACCCTTCTTCTCATCTGTTTCTTTACTGTTTTTGTTAAGTGCACTGAATTTTGTCTTGTACCATTTTCTTGTTCTGAGTGTTGTGTCTGTTGGACGCCTGTTAGTGTTTCGGATATTGATGTGTCTGGTTCAGAGGAAACTTGTTCCAGAATGATCTGATCACCATTCACCCAACTGATAGACGTTTGGCAAACTCTGGTAGGAGGAGAGAAACTGCAGCTGAATACAAAATTGAAGAAGTCTGAGATGGAACAGAAACTAATTTCTTTGCTCCATGATGTGAAACATTGTTAGTATATATATTTTTCAGTATTTTTTTTATTCTCGTTCATAGATATGACATGATTTGGAAGAGGCTGCATGCTCCCCGCCACAACTGACACATCCGAGAGATTCATTTGTGCACTCAGAACTCTCATGAGTGCCACCGCAACGGTAGCAAACAGTATTCTTTCCATGACAAGACTCAACGCCATGTCCAAATCCTTGGGATTTATAATATCTGAGTGGATTTGGAACGTACACTTCCGCTGCAATGTTGAAATTGCCAGCTTTAATATACTTTGGAATGGTTGGACAGTTAAATGAAATAGGTATGTATTTGTGTTTATTATATATATTGTTTTCTTGCTTCTTGGTGAATCGCTTTACAGCTGTAACACTGGACTTTTTTAGTGCAGCTACAAGTTCCTCCTCACTCATGAGCGAAAGACACTTTTCGCGATCTCGTATAATTCCTCTACTTGAGTTCAGTGTCCTGTGCCCCGAGACAACAACCTGAGTATCAACAAACTGCTTAAGACTCAGCAGATTGACAGATTGTTGCCTCCGTGCACATTCAACTAACAGTCAACCATTACGGAGACAGGTGACATTTTCCACTTCTCCGCAGGCACCTTCAATGCCCTTGGAGATAGCAAGATAGTTGAGTTTCAATGGAAGACCGTCAGCAGAAACAATAACGATAAATCAGAGTTTTCAGTTGATATTTCATCATCAGAATCAACATGTCGACGTTTGTATGTTTTGAAGAACCACATTGATTGTGGAGAGACATGAGGGGATAAATATATTCAACGTCTCCGCTCCCCATCCGCCATTGAGTGTCTCAAGGACGACGTTACAGCTCAAGCCAGGCTGTAAAACCAGGGTTACAGAGATGCCATATTCAAGTAAATAAAGACATGAATAGCTATGATATCCAAAAGAACATGTGCCATATGAGGAGAGAGAGCTTTTAGCGTTGCCCAGCACCCATCACGAGAAGGTTGCACTTCAAGGGTGCCAAAGGGATATTGATATATATATATATATATATAGAGAGAGAGAGAGAGAGAGAGAGAGAGAGAACCAGAAAGAGAGAGAGAGAGACAGACACACACACATACACAGAACGAAGGATTGCGACAAAGTAATTGTGAATCTGCTAGGTATAGTTTGATTGGTTCAATGACGTGTTTTGCTTCAGGATTTATGTTCGGCGTGGTACAAGGGACCAAGCATTGCTGCAGATGTCGTGACTGAGTATTTCCATCACAACGTCTCTCTGGTGAATATACTCGTCGTTGCCGCCGGAACAGGCCATTTACGCGAACAGGTACAGTCATTTTTCTCATGTATTTCACATGCACATGTACTGACAAAAACATACAATGACAAAAATCAGTTGCAATTCATAAGGTAACATGTTGAATAGATACACAATGGTATTACTTTAAATGCTCATTCACTCACTCACTCACTCACCCACTCTCTCACTCTCTCACTCAGGTGTTTATGGCTGATGCCACCTGTGAGGCAGGATATGCTCATCTTTTCGATAATATTAATATTCGTAAGTTATTCACCAATGGATCACTGGATTGTCTGGTCCAGGCTCGATTATTACAGACCGTCGCCATATAGCTGGAATATTGCTGAGTGCGGCGTAAGACTAAACTCACTCACTATTCACCATTGCTCATTATATAGTCGAAACTGTTCAATGACCTGGACGTGGAAAGGGTGTTGTGGCTTCCATTTACATGAACACTCATCGCTGAACGGAATTCTCACGTCTGGTAAATCCCATTTCGAACTTAAAGAATGTATATCATATCCTTTCAAAATGGTCAAAATCAAATCTTTGATTGCAAAGTAACACACAGGCCACACATGCTAAATGTTCTAATGAATTTTCTCATGAATATAAATATGTTGTGTTCATTTCTACTTTGTTTAAAGTTCACAGAACACTTACAACAATAGTTACATTTCAGCAATGATAGAGCTATCGATGGGGATAGTTTTACAACAACAGTTGATGCAATTAACTGTTTCTAATATCAGGCTCGGAGGGTTGAGGTCTGTAGATACATGTACTAGTATATCTATTTTTGCCATTTTTATTAATCGACTGTCAGTTATCCACTCAAATCGCATACGCGTATCAACAACGGGGAGACAACACGGTTATAGCGGGCCAGTACGTCATTTCAGCAAAGCATTTAAGAGAGGTGTGATACTTTATGGATAGCAACGTCTTTATCATATTGTGATGAGTTTTTTGGGTATAATTTCTTATACCGTTGTCAAGCAAGACTGACTTGAGTTGTCTTGCTTGACAACGGTATAGGAATCCATACCGAAACGATAAAGTATCATACCTTTCTCATATGAGGGCGGTCTGTAAAAAGTCGAGACTGGACAGACAATCTAATGATTGACTTCACGAGCACCGATCCACGCAGTTGGGATACGACAAAATTAATACATTCCGATATATGCGTTTTCTTGATCTCCTTGAGTTAGACTACTTGGAAACATAGTTCAGACAACCCATAGATATAGCATTAGTCATTGAATTGGTGTTTTAAGGACCCCGTGTTTGAATATGCAGGCCTTACAACGTTATACATTCATAAGTAAATACCTTTAACCAGGTATATACATATCCATGAATAGATATGAATAGGACATGTACAAGTACAATATAAACACTCTATGTAATAACATATTAGTATTCAAAGTGATTTCCATGAATGCGTTATAAGGTAACGGTATACTGATTTTATTCTCTAGCAAGCGACATGTTGTGCCTGTTCATGAGATGGTGTGTCTCTATGTGTATGGGAACAAAATGTCTATTACGTTTATGCATAATACCAACAAACTCATGTGTTGGAAATTAATTATATAAATACATGACTATCAATTCTCCCTGAATTTATTAAACATTCGTCTCATATGTTACTTCCTTATCTTGACCTTTTATTTAATGGTATTCTAGAAACCGTTAATTTTCCTACATCATGGTCAACTGGTATTATTGTACCCATATATAAACAAGGTGATGTAAACAACCCAAATACCTACCGTGGAGTTACTCTCCTTAGTATCTTCGAGAAACTTTTACACATATCATTAACAAATGATTATTTAAGTGAGCTGACACTATAGATAAATTATATGAGGGCCAAGCTGGTTTCAGACGGGGCTATTTGATTTCAAGAGGTGAAACATTCTATGTCCTATTTGTTGATTTTGCTAAGGCATTTGATTCTATCAAGACAAATAAATTATGGGGCCCTCTTGCAAACTCTTGGACTCAGTCAAAAAATGAATAAACTTTTATGTAGTATATATGAAAATGTCAAAGTAAGTGTAAGAAATTTAAACAATAATGAAGTATCAGAATATTTTATTTGCCATTTAGGTGTCAGACAAGGCTGTATTAAAGTCCCTTCCTGTTCCTACATTTTTTATCAATGAATTTTCTGTGTAAATATGTGATAACTGTACCAACGGGATCCAGTTACATCCTGATTTAACTCAATTATTTTTGTTACTCTTTGCGGATGATATTGTCTTATTTTCTAACACCATAAGCGGTCTACAGAAACAAATTGATCAACTTGGAATCTATTCTGATGAATAGAATTTGGCAGTTAATAGGAGTAAAACAAAGGTTATTGTTTTTAAGAACTGCGGGAAACTTTCAAAAAGGGAACAATCAAAACGCCCAACCAGAAAATATATTTTGTCACTGATCCAAAGAATGAAAGGCATCTATCAACAAAGATGGCTTGAATCAATCTATCGATCCTCTAAATGTCTGTGTTATAAACATTGGAAATCTGAACTATGCCAAGAATATTAAAATATTTATCAAAAATCACTGTATAGAAATTCCGTGTAGCTTTATCCCGTTTTCGCTGCTCATCGCACGAGTTGTTTGTTGAAACTGGAGGTTATGTGAATATTCCGCGCAACCATAGAATTTGCAACCTCTGTAACGTTAATGCTGTAGAAGACGAATACCATTTTCGTTTTATCTGCCCCGCCTATGAAAACCTTAGAAAGAAATATTTAACATCCTATTATTATACCAATCCAAATGAAATAAAAATGACGATATTATTAACAAATGAAAATATTACTGAATTACAGAACCTGTCAGTGTATATCTATTTTGCATTTATACATAGAAAATCTGCTTTAAATTTGTATTCTGTAAATATTTGACATATGCTCTTCTGCTGCTCAGTTGTGAATATTGTGTATATAGATGTGCTATAGGCCTGTGGCCTTTTAAGTACAGAATAAAGATTGATTGACTATCAATTCCTCCGAATCTGTACATTATAATCGCTTAGGTAACACTTACACATTAAAAGGATCCTTGCTCTCAGCATATTTACCCGGTATATAAGAACACTCGCTACAGAGAAGACACAGTCTACTGAAACATTAGTCATCTTCACGGCTTGTTTTTACGACAACTTACAGTTACATGTTTGTATGTACGTTGCCACAGAACACGTATTTGCACTTTTCTATTGGTTGGTTCTATTGGGTGTTGTGCTGTCTGTGCTCTGGGAGAATAAATCCAGCGCAAACTGCTGGTCAGAGTCGTTATTCATTCCCGTCCTCAGATTGTATTTACACTGATGGTCATTTATTGAGTAAAAAGCTGTGAACAAAACAAAAGTCTGAATTACAGTGAAGTTCCATAACTCATATGTCCTATTTCGCATATCATAGATTCTATAAAATGCTATATCCTATTTCAAAGTGATTTGACAAGTCCTGTATCTTATAATATGAAGCAGATAGGATAATATACAAAATAAGACTTCAGTAATTGATACAGGTTGAAAAGTGAAATATACTAAGCAGTAAAAGAAAAAGTCAGTTTGGAATTTTCCTTCGCAGATACGGATAACTGTAAACTCATTTAATGTTTTGATGGTATATTTTTGACAACATCTCCAACTTGACCTGAGCAAAGACATTCCTTCCCAAACTCAAAATCGAACCCAGGAAATGGTCTCAAAAACGCAACCTGATCTCGGAGACGGTACAGTGTTCTCTATGTTTTTCATGCAACTCATGCTGCATGTGCTGTTCACAAGGACCAGCCCTATAAAATGCACCCCCAAACATGGTTGAAACATTCACATTACAACGACAGCATTATGCCGCGACTCACGACAGGACAGAGGAACCAGGCACTAGGAAGACTTGAAGCTGGCCACATTGCACAAGCCGTGGCCAATCACTTCCAGGTCAACGTTCGGACCATCTACAGGCTGCAGCAACGTTTCCGGGCCTCCAACACCACAAATGATTGCCCCCGTACTGGCAGACCAAGGGTGACCACAAGACGACAAGACCGCCATGTTGTGCGACAGCATGTACAGAATCCCTTCATGCAGGTATCCGAAACAGCACGCCAGACAGTGGGAACACACGGAAGACCAATCAGTACTGATACAGTACGCCCAGTTGAACATCTTTGGGATGAAAATTCAGAGGAGACTGAATAATGTGATACCAAGGCCGAACACAGCTGATTTATTGCGCCAGGCCTTTTTCAGAGTGTGGTTCCAGGTGCCAATGGCCTTCATCAATCGATTGGTGCACTCCATGCATAGACGCTGTGCTGCAGGTATTGCCGCTCGTGGTGGTCACACTAGATACTGAAGTCAAGAGTCTGAATGGACTGCAAACGTTCACGTAATGTCTTGGAATTGTGCTGAGATATTCATTTATGTGTCAGGATATTGATCACAAAAAGGTTTTGATCCGCTTATTATGTCTATTTCTGTAATGATTTGATTACAGTGCCTATCTAAGTTGGATTTCGTACTGACTTTTTTTGCTGCTGAGTATATATCCTACTTACAAACCTTATTTTACAATAACATTAAAATTGAAAAGGTTCCTTTACATCGAATTTATCTCCATTGTAGCCTATGTAAAACATACACACAAATTAACATGTCCTGACACAAAACCTATCAATAAACAAAATCATACATTTTAGACAATCAATAATAATAATCCCTTTGGATAAATTAATTAAAGGTAAGCAAATTACAATGCAATTGAGCCTATATATGTAGATAAAACGTGACGTGTGACCAAACTATGTGCTATTTTACCGATAGATAAAATCACTTTAATTTACACTAAAATTACCCTAATAGGTACACAAATGTAAAATATCATTACTCTAGATGTCAGAAATAAAGAGTACTTACACCTTAGTTGTCCTATAATTTCCGATGCAATCGGATTACCTATTTTTCCTAATTTGCCTTTTTTCAGTCCGTAAAACATGGCCGGAGCCGCTCGCTTGCCAAGCATCAAGCGCGACAACTCTCAACCTCCAACGTTAAAATAAACCCGCTATAAAAGAAATATGCTTTTGAAGAACATAATCAAAGGAAGAAAATTTCATAAACCTAATGTGACAAAATCCTGGTCAAAGGGAGGTAACCTACTACTGTTACGGAGGTAACATAACAGTTGTTTTCTGTTGGAGTTCGCAGAAAGGAGGTGGAATATGTGTTCGTACGGCTGGATGTACTTTGTACTGTGGCTAGGCATGCTTATATACTTACCGATATCTTCTAGAGAGTAATATTATGTTGTCAATTGATTGTTTGTGCATAGATCAGTTTTCTCTTCTCTGCCGTGTTCATGTGATGAAAGATTATGAAATGGCGATATTAGTGTATGCTTAGTTCAAAGGAATTTGTTAGATCACGTTCAGTAAAACTCAGTGCTTCACATGAAAAACACGGACATAAAGATCTACCACATACCATTTTGTCAGGTTTGCTGGGTGTTGAAGGAACATCTTTTGAGATGTAAACATCATTTTGCATACTGTTTCAATATAGCATGAATATTGCTGAGTGTGCAGTAAACAAACAAAGAATACAAGAACTTTGACGTGACATGACATGACGTGAAATGGCGTTTAACGTCGCACTTAAGAATATTTCGCTGATATGACGACGTGCATGCGTGTATGTGTGGCTGCTTGTACTAGCCAAGACTTAAGCTGGTTTTATAGTGCTAGCCCACTGAGATACCATGCCGCAGTTAAGCATGAATACCCCTCAGACTCATTATACTGACTCCGAGCCGACCAGTCCTTGGTGTACCCATTAATGCCGAGCGCTAGACAGGCATCAATAAGTACCATATTTTCACGTCTTTAGTATGACGCGGCCGGGGATCGAACCCGCGAATTCCGCTCTCCTGGCGGACGCTCTAACCACTACACCACCGAGGTGGTTTATGTCTATGTAAAGGCCTCTGAATCGACAAAGATATCATTAAGAAACTGAAAAGGGAACGCCAATAAACCATAACAGATGCCAACCCTACCATTAACAGATTCACTTAATGGCATGAACATGCACTTTGTGTTGGACTTATCAGAACATACTGTTAAATATACTGAGGGGGAAATAAAAGGAATCACATGAAAGGACAAGTGCTCCTTTATTTTTTTCCAAGGTTTCTTCACAAGCTTTGGAGCGCATAGCTTGCGAATAAACCTGGAAAAAATGAGGGAACAATTGGCTTTCATGTGATCCCTCATTTTTCCCCCTCAGTATATAATAGCTGGACACGATGTTCCTGTGTTCATATTGAAGGGTACTTGGAACTACGTGTAGAAAGTCATCAGTTGTGGCACGCCATGACGTTTTCCAACACAAACCTGTATAAGAGTACATATGAAACTGTAATGCACAATGTAATTGGGAACCGTTGGTAGAAAAATAATCAGGTGCATATAGTGATTATGTACATAATACTTGCATATCTATATGCAAATAAGGAACGTTATATACAAAGCAGCTGTATACATTGAATGCAACTCTTGAATAGATTGACGTCATATGGTGCTTTGTAATATAGAAATTTGATACAGAATTGAAATTTGATAAACTGTACATTGGTAAGCAATTACTGGTGCTACTACCACATCGTGCTCTGTGGTACATTGTAAGTGAAATGCAATTACATTGGTGATGATGGTTTCTTGAAAGGGACAATTATTGTGTCATTCAAAGGGTTGACATATGGATTCACTTGCTTGTGAAATATACCAGCTTTACAAACAACTTGAAACCCACCAGACAGCTCAGTCAACACTGGGTCATGAGAGGATTTGGCTCAATTATGTCAGCGGCTGAAATGGTGTTGGAGCCTATCATTTTTGCCTGCGAGCACGCCACTGCACTATTCGCATTACTTGGGTGTGTTCTTATTTTCAGAAATGACAAAAGAGGAAGCGAACAAATGTACACATATATGGATGCCAGAAGAGTCGGGCCAAGTGTTGGTTGGCTTGCCTTATCGCGCCGGGCTCCCGAAAGAGGAAGTGCTTAAATTTTACTCCAAATGGGCCGCGGATGGCAAATATGAACAGGTATGATACGTAAACTTAATATAAAATATGCATATATGACTTCTTGTTACTCGAAATTATTCACTGGACTTAAATATTCTTCTTCTCAAATATTCCCATGCATGTCGCCACTAACGGGATCGGGTGGTCAGGCTTACTGACTTGGTTGACGCATGTCATCGTATCCCATTAGTGTAGATTGATTCTCATGTTGTTTATTAATGAATTGTCTCGCCCAGACTCGATTATTTATAGACATGTAGCTAGAATATGGCTGAGTGCGGCGTTAAACAGCAAACCAAACCAATCTCCTTCGTCCAATGATCAAATGATATTTTACGATTCAGGATTTGTGTTTAGAGGATTACAAGGGACCAGTGATTGCAGCGAACGCCCTAGCAAAGCATTTCGGGAGCAGCATACCACAGACGAAAGTATTAGATGTTGCCTCAGGAACAGGCATGGTGGGCAAACAGGTACAGCCAAATAACCAAATCAACTTCACATTTACACTGAACAGGTACAGTCAAATAACCAATCAACTTCACATTTACACTGAACGGGTGCAGCCAAATAACCAAATCAACTTCACATTTACACTGAACAGGTGCAGCGAAATAAGTAAATCAACTTCACATTTACACAAAACGGGTGCAGACAAATAAGTACATCAACTTCACATTTACACTACACGGGTACAGCCAAATGACCAAATCAACCTCACATTTACACTAAACAGGTGCAGCCAAATAAGCAAATTAACTTCATATTTACACAAAAAGGGTACAGCCAAATAAGCAAATCAACTTCATATTTACACAAAACGGGTACAGCCAAATAAGCAAATCAACTTCATCTTTACACAAAACGGGCACAGCCAAATAAGCAAATCAACTTTACATTTACACTGGACAGATACAGCGAAGTAAGCAAATCAACTTCACATTTACACTACCTGACACGGAAAATGCCCATACAGTGTACAAAAGCTCAATGAATGCTGATAAAATGGTCACTTTTTCTTAATTATTGGTCGAACGAACGTTTAACACAATTATTAATCAACTGAGATAAAAGAAATATATGCTGAAGCAGTTGAGGAATTTTCAGCTTCAGATTCGTGGTTTCAAGCATCTGGATGCTCTAGAACCAGCGGCAGGGATGTTGGAACAAGCCAGGAAGAAGAACATCTACACCAACCTCTACTGTGAGTTCCTGGACGGCAACCGTCTCCCAATAGATGATGGTAGGTAACATCTGACCTTCACTTGATCCCGTAGTAACACGCATCCCAGCAAATAGTTATAGCAAATTCTGTGAATGAAGTGGTATTTTTCTCTCTTATGTTACATTTAGAAGAGGATTTCACCATAGCGTGTTGAACATTTTTATCGCAATCATCTTTACAGACACATACGACTGCTGTGTAATAAGTGGTGGAATGGGAGAAGGACATATTCCACTGTGTGGGTTGCACGAACTAATTCGATTGACTAAACCAGGTGAGTAGAACGTATGTGCAGTTTACAGAAGTACTGAGTGAGTGAATGAGTGAGTGAGTGAGTGAGTATGGCTTAACGCCGCTTTTAGCAATATTCCAGCAATATCACGGCGGGGGACACCAGAAATGGACTTCACACAATGTACCAATGGGGAATGGAACTCGGGTCATCGGCGTGACGAGCCATAGCTTTCACCACAAGGCTACTCCACCTCCCCACAGAAGTACTGAAAGAAACAATGCAAACCATAAATTCTAATAGATGTGATTTAAAACGTTTGGATCATTTGCAACAGTCACGACAGTCAGATATTTCTCAGTGAGCGTGGAAAGGTATTTATATTCTGTTGTACCCTGGATTATTATAGCTCTATCTCCATTAAATGTAGGAAGTTTCAAAATGCTGAAATCGAAAAAATGTCTATCTGATTTGAAAAGGTGTTCTACCCACATTTATTGAGTATTGGTTTATTCACTATTACTCATAGTCCAGACTGCACATGGTAATGAGGACTATCTGTATGGGTGAATGAAATTCATTCGTTTAAGATGTCTTTACATCCCAATAACTATACTTGATAAATAATTCTAAAATAACCAATACAGCTAACATAACTTACCAAACTAGTTTATCAAAATGTATTAACATCAATAAATCTAAAAAACACAATTATTACACTAAATATATATTATTACCTCCCTAGGGACTTACAGGAAAAATACTACTCTGTGTCTTCTTTCCCATATGGCTGATAAATACAAATTTCTTCTCAATATACTCATATATGTATGAAAGAAATGAATAATATACTCATGCCAATAATGTTGTCACACCCCTCCCAACCCCAACACACACACACACCCCACACACCCCGACCCCCCACCCCCACCCCCACACACACACCCGACACCCCTCACTAATTAATATGATTGAAGGGGGTGACAACCATTATTGGCATGAGTATATTTACGTCAACCAGAGTGTGTTGATTCCACAAGGTCATCGTATTTCTTGGCCCACAGGACAACTGTGCAAATTACTTTCCTTCCCCACTATTTAAACTGACCTAATATGCCCAAGCTACCCCGACCTCCATATTCTTATAGCAAGCAGCTATCAGCCATACCTGGTCATGTTCCCTGAATCTAACCTGTTCCCATAGTATTACCGGATAGTATCTAACAGCAACTCCTCAAAGTTCTATACTCCATTTTTTAATGCCATTATACACCTTTCAACGCGTATATGTGTCGACAGGGGAATTAGCTCAGAATTGAGACGAACAATACGTTGACGATCATGAGACGAAGAAATAGGTTGAGTTCAAACTTCTTTAGTTGACTATACAATACATGATAAACAAGTATACATAAATGAGGTGAGCGGAGTTTCAGGGCGTTTGCTGCTCGCGGTCGTCCCTACACAGACAGTCGGAATACGGGTCTGCTTGACCATATATACTGGACAAAAATAGTTAGGGATATATGTAAATTTTGAAATTATGAATAATGATCTATTTATTCATTGACACACTGATAAAATATAAATAATAAAAATACCAATATCCCTAACTTATTTTGTCCAGTATATATGTGAGCATATATACAGTTTTTGACAACAGTGGACAGGTGAGGACTCAACAATGGACAGATACAGAAACAATAGCACTTCCTTGTAAGAGTTGATTTGATGACAGACACGGCCAAGGGGGGTGACCAATTAAGGCCATAAATGTCAAATGCAGTAATTAATGACAGTGACAGAGTGGTACAGGGTGGCTAACAAGTCGGTAGTGATCATTATTAAGTATGCAGATTAGCATCATTTGAATAATTACAATTAAGTCTCACATGTCTTGGCTACATAGTCTTTGGTCTTAAGAGATATTTGGACGATGGCTGTCCTGCATTAGACGCTATGACAATGACATATCTATCTGAAGTACCAACATCAAAGGAATATTAATAAAATCGTCTATGTTCTTGACATGTAGTAAACATATCAATTCCATTTTCAGGGGGTTTCATCTGCATCGTGATGAAGGAATCACATCTCTCTGAGTGCATGGAATACAAGGACGGACTGGAGCAGCTGATGAAGGAACTGGAGGATGCTGGCAAATGGGAAAGATTGTCACGTGATGTCGTGTCAAAATACGTTTTTGGAGAAAATGGTGTTATCTTTAGATTTAGGGTATGTTAGGAAAAATGAGTCTCTTAAGCACATGCTCTGTCATCGTATCGCACAGTGACAATCACTTGATTGTCTGGTCCAGACTCGATTTGTGTTCAAACAACATCGTACAGCTTCATAACTGCTGAAACAAATATATACTCACGATATAGCCACAATTGTACAATCGACTCTCCTCTAGCAGATATTTCTTATGGGTGCGGAAAGGGTTTTGTCGCTTCTATTTAGTACCTCGGTTGTATGATTGGGAGACACGTAACAGTAACTTCTAATCAGACTTCTGCACAAGAATACTCGGTGGATTCTTGTAAAAACTTTGTCTTTGTTCAGCATGTATTGAAGTTCCTTCTTCAAGGCTTCAAACTCGACAGGTATCATCCGGTAGGGACGTTGTTTCACAGACACAGCGTCACTTGCATCTACATCATGATACACTAAATCTGTGCGCCTTATATATCCAGAAACAGCTGATACATAACTTGCACTACCGACAGGTTAATACTCTTCTCTCACAACAGCAGCTTTTGATCCCTTGTCTACAAAAGCTAGCTCCTCCCTAGCAGAACCACAACAAGGCTGTGACTTGACATTCACCAGTTCTTGGGGGAAGAATGGCTGTTTTCAAAGCGAGCTTCCTTCACTCAGAAATGATATCCTTGGCCTATGACAATATCCACAGGTCGCCTCTCACGATAATGCAGAAGTATCTTTGGAATAAACTCCAACAGAACTTGACATTTTGTCAACAACTCAGAGCCAGAAATATTTGAACGAGAAGAATGAGCGCTTGAACTGTCCTTCCCTGTTGTATATCCCTTGAACCCCTGCTTGCAAACCCCGAGGGCCTGAAACTAACCCTATAAGCTAGCGAATAATCGTCAAGCAAAGTAACAGCCTTGTGCAACTGATCTACTTTCTGCTCATCAGTGTCTTCTGAGGCACACTGTTTAAAATCATCAAGCAAAACCAACTGCCTCAAAGGATCAAAATCACTATTGACCTCTTTTGAAGTATGCCACCTATCACATAAATATTCTTTCCCCCAAGCAAACTAAACAATAGCAGTACAACCCTTTTTCTCAGCAGACCTGAACCTTTGATGTAAGCTTCTGGTATCAATTCCAAAGCCTGTTACTCTTAACTTGCTGAGATTTTACCCTAAGTACACTTTGCAAAAGCATTCAGTTGTTTACCACCTTTTCAAAAGGTAAGAATTACTTTTCAACATCACGTTCAGAGATGTCTAATCTGCCCCAAATTATCAAACGATCACCTGTTGAGGTAATGTGAGAGAGATCACTTTGTAACTGAAGTTGTTTCAGCAATAATTTCTCTTTCAACTTCTAATGGCATCATCCGGAATTCTCTCTCAGCACCACCTTCCTATCTCATTTTTTCTTTCAATTTCCTTTGTCTCATATGATATAATTTTACATAGCCATTTTTTTCTCTGGCGAATTTTAATTTCTTCAGAGTTAAAACGTCAGTCTTCTCAACCAAGGCCAAAGTATCGTCATGAACATGTTTTTTCTTTAGCAATAATAGTGATATAACATTTCTTGACATCGCTTTTAAGCAAACCGGATTTGAGGCCTAGTTCGTAATATTCGACCAGTTCAGATTTTAGGCATAATAATAAAGCACAATAGTACAGTTTCGACAAACTAAGATTTTCATAACCACAAAACAACTGTTTCAAACACTTTCTGAAAACAGTTACCCGTCAAAACAACGATAGAAATTATACAATGGATTATTGAACATCAATGACAAGACAATCC